TATTAAGGATGCCTGAACAGAAAAGCATCTGAAGGTGTTCTTTTCTGTGGAGGGAAACAGCATTTTAGCAGTTTTCAAACTAAGATTGAAACCAGTTTTAAGAGGACTTAGTGATCTTCATGCACTGCTCTGAATCTATTCTGTGAAGTGAGGCAGTGCAAACAAGTGCAGGGAAAAGAGACAACCAGCTACCCAGCTGAGCAGAACACTTGTTCTCCTAAGAAAAGCACTTTGCAGTGTGTGCTATGTGTTCATTAGTCTTTGAAGTAAAAAAGGCTCTAAGGCCAATGAATAAACTGTGGCTTATTCTATGAAATAGGTGTAATTTGAATTAAGAGGACAGGAAAAAGAAGAAACAGAAACCCTCATCTCTAGTACCAAAGGAGAAAGTTTCTACCTGTCTTTGTACCTTGTAAAAGCACTGCTTCTCTGTTCATCAGGAGGGAAGAGAGGTGAATCTAGGAATGTTGTCCTTCCATTTTCCTCTTTGCCTGCACAGGCAACTAGAATAGATTTAGCCTCTGCTCTACTGGGGAAGATAAAAAGTGTTTAAACAGCAGGAAAAATTGTACTTATCCATCACTTAAGAAGGCAGCAGAGCAAATGGGAACCAGTCCATCTGGACTTTGCCTTTGAACTGCCAGGTTTAAACTCCTGAAATGGAGACTGGTGTGAGACAAGAGTAAGATGGTACAGGCCAATCAATAACTGGGCTCAGAGAAGCCCTTAGAGAAGAGCAGAGAGCTCCATTTTGGGGAGCCTGACAGACAGACTTGCTTATACACACTCTGTCTTGGAGCTCAAACCAGCTATCAGATTTTCACCAGGAACTGTTCTCTTTGTTATATGAAAAACAGGGGAATTTTTAGCTTTTTGTTGTAATACAATTGCCTGTTTTATGGACTCCTTTGCATTGCTGCACCCAGAGGTTTAGAAATTTATTAGAGGAGAAGGTGTTGTTCAGGCAAACATCTAAAAATTGTGTTTAAAACTGCCAGACACTAGGAAGAAATTAACCATACCAATGGAAGCTATTTAATTTATGTTTTAAAAAGTCACAAAAGCATAATGGGTGGTGAGGGGAAGACATCTATTCACCCTCAGAATATAACTGAAGAACCTACATCCAAAACAGTGTGATGGAAAGTGTTCCTAATCTGACTGTTTGTGGGAATTACAGGCCAGGAGTCTATCACCCAAAACATTGACTGAAATTATTAATTTTTTTAAAAACACAAACTGTTTAAATTAATTGATAAAAGCTTCTAGAAAAATTTAGTATTCACTTGCATATTTTTGAACTTATTTGGAACTTGGAACTCATCAAATGTTCTTTGACAGAATTGGTGATAGACATGTTGGATATCTATTGAGTATTTTTTGCTTCTTTTGTACTTGGAAGCAATTGGTGAAATGCAATAGCTTGAGAAAGAAAATGAAACCCGATCTGAGATTCATTCACACAGCAGGAGTTCTCTTCTCCACAGGTGCTTATTACTATGTTACACATAATCATAATAGCTGAGCCCCATCAGTTGTGGCTTCCAGATCAGTTCTGTCATTTGTCGTTCCCACTGTTCTGTCTTACCCCTACGTTTTTTGTGCAGTTGTATTTCATTGCTTGTTTTATTTGCACACATATTCTGTGTATACATCTCTGAATACATTGCATTTCCTCCTTGGGGAAGTAAGCACACACAAATACAGATTCATAGAGGGAGAGGCATTCTCCCTCTATTTTCTGTCTCATTCCCCTCAGCTGTGCTTTGTTGGGGGAAACAGTGTTGCATGGGGAAGAAGGGGCAATGTTTGCAATGACTGGCTGGTTCAACCTTCTTAGAATAGCTCCTGCACCAGTGGCTGTTGCATTTTTGGAAGCAAGTTTCACTTTGTGACACAATCAGTTGTTGCTGGCTGCTGCCCTTTCCTTAGACCATTCTTACAATCTTCTTGCGCCAGGTGATTTGAACGTCCTGAAAGTAAAGCCTGAGTTTTTCAAATGTGGGTGCCTTGAGGTTCCTGTATTTCAGTGCAACAAACTTTCTCAGTGTGTTAGCATTGATGCCTGCATTAATCATCCCACTCAGGGTGATCATCCAGATGGAGTTAAGTCCAAGTAACGTTTTCTCCATATTGCTGAGAGTATATCAGGGCCTACTTTTCACTTCAGCTAATTTCGTCTAACTAGGAAGGCTTAATTGCCCAGCAGAGTTATACAGCACTTTGCTTTCATATGATACCCATGTTTTGCTTCCAAGGAAAGAGTGTGGAGAGGAGCCTTTTGGCTTTAAATGACAAGTCCAGTTGACAGTCCCTTTTGCCATTTGACTCCTTATAGAATAGCCTTTGGCAGGGCGGTGCGCGAAAACCTTAATTTGTTACAGCTGTCAGAGAGACGTGCATTGCTTTCTTTTCTGTTCTGCCTGCTTTCCTCTGGAAATGAGGTTTTTTCTGTCATGCTCTCCCTCTGACAGGCTGTCCAACCCTATCCTATTTACTTTTTTAATCCATTGGCCAATTTTAGTCCTATTTAGCACTGAGGCAGATGCCTTAATGATATTGAGTTCTACCACTGTAATGAATACTGGCAGCCAGATAGAGGAGAGAGATGTAATTAATGCCTATTCTGATGAAGAGATTTCAGTGTGAGCTCAGCTTTTGCTAGGTATCAGGCTTTATTAGCTCTGCTGTGAACAAAACTGCCTGGGTTTATATTGTAAGCATTATTGTAGCACTTTAATTGGTGGCTTTGCCTCTGTGATTTATCTTGCTATCATGCATCAGAGCCCTAATGAGGGTTCAAAATGCCATTGAACATGACAATGTTGAGTATGTGGGCTGATACCACCAAACATCAGCATTGCTAAGTCCAGGAGATAACAGAACTACATAAGGACAAAAATCTCTTCTTTCATTACTCCCTCTGCTGACCCTGAACTCCTTAGCTGTTCTTGTTTTATGGGAGGGCCAGTATCTGGTGCCTGGGGTTTCCATCCTGAAGCAGAGATTGCAGCATCTTGGGCTGCCAAACACCTTTCCATGCCAGAAATCTTCCTTGAATCATACAGAATTCACCTTCACCAGCTTTTGTCCTGGGAGCCGGGGTTCCTGCCTGACCTTCTGTGCAGAAACAGTGCTGTGTCTCATCCCATTGCTGCAGAGCAGCATGCCTGCTGTGGATGGAGGAGCAGCGTGGAGACAGTTCACTTCCTCCCTTGTTCCACTAGAAAGATTGTCCATGTAGTACCATGGAGGGAGTAATGGAGATTAGGACAAACTAGTCTAGTTATCCCATTGAATTTCTGGGATAGTTATGTCAGTTTACCCAAGGAAGCCAGTTTGACGTGCATAATTCAGACATTTCTTCTCTCAAATGATAATCTCTTACCTTCTGCATCTTGCACATTCTGTAAAAATGTGGCAGAACGAGCATGTTTTGCCATCTGGACAGAAAAAAAAAATCATAATGATTATTTACTTGAAATTGCAAAAAGTATGTGTTTGAGCACCTAGTCTTATTTAGTCAAACCCTTGCACAGGGTTTGAGCACCAACACCACACATTGTTTCTAAATTTTAAATTTATTAAAAGGCATATATTGGGAATACGCTTAAATGGGTTGTATGTGCAAGTTCAAAAATTATATGGTTTAGATCACTGCTTTACTTGTCTTTTAGATTTGAGGTTTAGAATTGACCTGTCAGATTTTCATAAAACAGGCTGGTTTTACTTTGAGTTATGAATCTGCCACAGAAGTGGCAAATAAGGTGATACATAGCCCAGTAATGTGATTCTTTTTAAAATTCCAGGCTTGGCTCACAATGATGTTCATAGATGATCTTGGTTGCCTTCCTGAATAAGTATGCAATAAGAGTATTCTTTTATTCTTGTAGCAAGATATTTAAACATTAATTTAAGAGTAAGTCAGCATGTCATGAATAAATACTCCTGCAGCTTAGACTGCTCTGTGGTACCTCTAAATTTTATTTAGATTTTTGTGTTACTCTAGTCATATAAGTGGTTTTTATCAGCAATTGGAAATTGTAAGGTACTCACCACTAATTCTGATAAATAGAGAGAATGAATGTAAGAATGTGCACACTGTGTTAAAAGCTTTTATTTTACTTGTTTTTCATTGCTTCTTATTTTTTCTTCCCATAGAGTATGTCCTAGTTGTACATGCCAGAAGATGGGTGATGAGTTTGCAGAGCTGTCTAGCTTCACAATTCTTCCTTCTGCATGCTTTTTTATTATTCCTGTCATGGAATATATTGCCTAATTTTTAAATATGAAAAGCACTGTAAAATGAGAGATAGCAATTTACTTAATACCATGCATGCACAATTTATGTCAATTTTTTAAATAAATGAGCTCTTCTGTTGGAATACAGGAACCTTTGTGCAGAGTGCCTACAAACACTTTCACAGTTAGCAGTTGTCTTAATATTGGTCCTAACTAGTAGAGCACCCAAATCTCTTTGAAATGAAGGATATCATAAATGTTGCTTGACAAATTAGAGCTATTATGAATAATATGACCCTATGGATCAGAACAAAGCAAACTTTTTGTTTTCAAAACTATCGGTCAGAAGGATTTTTTTATTACTGTGCCAACCTTTTTTACTTCCATAAAGTGATTTTTGATTTGTAAAGGGTTCTGAGAGTAGCCCTGAGTTTTCACATGGTCTCTAGCGCTTGGCACAGCTGGAGTGCCTGAAGCAGCAACCTGGCTTTCCTTAGGATTCTCTCTCTGGAACTGAGTAAATTTTGCTTTGGTTTGTGACTCAGAGAGAGAGTTTAAGTGGGCTGGCCATGGGCTTTGGGCTTAAGGGAACATAGGAATTTTTGTTTTCCAATTCTGAATTTAGCATGTGCATTTCTCATATTCATTTCACATCTACAGAAGTTATTTGAAGAGTAAAACATGAATATGTGGGAAACGGGTGAAGAGTTCCCATTGAAATTTTGTTTATGTTTTTGTTCTTTTCCTTTTCATTGCAGTGAAATGAAGCAGAAGTTGGATGAAGAGGGCAACAAGTGCAGCATCCTTTCCAAGCAGCAGAAGTTCAATGAGCACTGCTGCATTCGCTGCTGTTCCCCTTTCACATTTCTGATCAACAGCAAGCGACAGTGCCAAGACTGCAAGTACAACATCTGCAAGAGCTGCAGCACTTACCAGAAGAAGGAGAAGGCTTGGATTTGCAGTGTCTGTCAGCAAGCAAGGTAAAAGCCTATTGTTCAGCAACTTGTGCAAGGCACCTGGGGCCTGACCTGACCTTTTCCTTGTATTTGTCAGTAGTTAACGCTGGTGGGATAGGACATGAAGTACCTGTTTATGTAGAGGTTGATTTATTCCTGATGTGCCTGGTTTTTCTAGGGGCTAATTTGTTCTGAGAGTGTTTGGTTGGTTACCTGTTGCATTTTCCAGGCTTGTTTAGCTGGACTGATGTATCAGCAAGCAGGAACTGGGCATAGCTTGTGCAGGACTGGGATGTCCTGAAACACCTTGGTTACTAATGGAACCTGAGCACAGATGGTGTTAGGACAGTTAATAGTTTGGCAGCTAATTCCCTTGATGGGTCAGAAATGGAAGGAGGAATATTTGTGAATAGATCATCCAGCTGTGACTGTGTTTTAGAGTGCTTTTCTAAATGCTTTCTAAATGCTTTTCTTATTGGTGGGGATGCCTTGAGCTTACTTTGGCAGGTATCCAAAGAAAATAGTGGTGCAACCTGTTATAACATCTGCTAAAGAATATGCTGCCAGGCTTCTATTTGCAGAGGGTATCAGAGATTTACTGTCTCACCCCTGTGAGGGTAGCAGAGGCCCAACATTTAAAGATAGCACCAGAAAAACAAAGCCAAACACTTAACAGCAGCAGAGGGATCATTCCTTGAATGTAACTGTTATAGTCCTTGTCTCCAAGTTCCAAAAGCAGCTGTAGTTGTGGTGACATATTCCTGACCAAAATCCTTTAATTCAGACAAGAAGAGTGAATGAAGTAACTGAGTTCCTTATGGTTTAATTTTTACCCCTGGTGACTAAAGCAGCTGAGCATATGTGACAAGAATGGCTGTTTATTCTTTATCTTTCTGTTTAGTGGAGAACACAGGATGAGGACAAGAGACAAGTCCCTTTGCAATGCTTTATGATACTCCTGTGCTCACCAAAGCCATACTATTCCCTCTTTTTTCCCATTAACACCCACTTGAAATCGTGGAATCATTAGGTTGGAAGAGACCTTCAAGATCATTGAGTCCAACCCACGCCCTAACAACTCAATTAAACCATGGCACAGAGTGCTACATTCAGTCTTTTTGTAAACACATCCAGGGATGATGACTGCACCACCTCCCTGGGCAGACCATTCCAGTACTTCATCACTCTTTCTGTAAAAAACTTTTTCCTAATATCCAACCTATATTTCCCTTGGCACGGCTTAAGGCTGTGTCCTGTCGTTCTGTCATTTGCTGCCTGGAGAAAGAGACTGACCCCAGCCTGACTACAGCCACCTTTCAGGTCGTTGCAGAGGTCACCTCTGAGTCTCCTTTTCTCCAGGCTAAACACCCCTAGCTCCCTCAGTTTTTCCTCACAGGGTTTGTGTTCCCAGCCCCTCACAGCCTCGTTGCCTCTTCTGGACACATTCAAGCATCTCAACGTCCTTCCCAAAGTGAGGGGCCCAGAACTGGACACAATACTCAAGGTGTGGCCTCACCAGTGCTGAGTACAGGCGAAGGATGACCTCCTGCTCCTGCTGGCCACACTATTCCTGATACAGGCTGGGATGCCATGAGCTTTCCTACAAGATGTGTGAATTAAGTTTGTGCCCTTGACACAGGTCCTTAAAATCACAGAGATCCCAGACAATGCCAATTTCCAAATGTCAGTCTTTGAAGGCGAAGGTGGCTGTGTTCTTTGGGGCACCTGATCCTTCTCTTTTTACCCTGGAAAACCTACAGAAGCCCTCTTTTCCCTGGTGACAAGACAGATGAATGACAGGAGAATCTTTTCCAGCAACACAGAGAGCCAGTGCTTGTTTCTGCCTTTCATATTGCGCCTCTTTATTCCATTTATCCTGCGTTCACCCATATGGGCAGCAGCACAGCAGCCAGGTTTGTGGATGCTGATGAACTGCATTTAAAATATCTTTTGCTGACTCCACAGAAAATGTCTCAGAAGAATTTAATTTCAGAAGAAAAATCTGTAGCTATATCATAAAAATGCTATTTCTGACCCTTGAAGTCATGGCTTTGCCTGTAACTCAGTTATAAACGTTTTCTTTATTTATGAGACTTGAGACACAGCTTGAGTTATTTTTCAGTGAATAAATTAACTAACACTGTTGCTAATCATGTTATATTCTGGTTTATTGGACTGTGCTACTTACAAATCCCTGTAGGTAGAGGGGGGATAGTACTCCTCAGAGGTTGCTGGTGTATTTTGATTTGGTGGGGGCTTTTTTTTGTGCTTATGGTGGGGGGGAGGGGAGGGTGATATAACTTTTTAGGGTTTAACTCTTGGTCAGTATTTCTTCCAGGGTAAAGCACAACAGTATTTTTGAGTTCTTCTCATCTTCTCAGTGACTTATCCCTCAGGTGGACTCTGTTCTCCTGCCTCTCCCCAGCTTCTCTGCTTGTGTCTTTTATTTTCAGGTTTGATAAGGCAGCACAGGTAGTGGAGGTGGTTCTTGCTTTAGCTGTTATTTGCCCACTTATCTTACTGCACAATAGAAAATGAGCTCTAGTGGGATAGAAATATCTGAAGACTGTGTTGTACACTCAAGAAAAGCTGATGGTGAATTAGTCTTTCAAGGCTTGACCCCAGTGGAGATACCTGTTCTGTTGATCTTCATCTTCCAAGGCAGCCATCTACATTAGCATTGAGCAGAGAGCAAAAATTCAGGTCACCATTTGAAACATAGAACATTTGTAGAAAATCAGTCAAAAAAGTTAGTCTTTGCTTCTTCCAAAAGCAGAAAACTCACCAATAAGCCAGTGAAAACTTTGGTGTTTGAATTCCTTTTAAGCACACCTTCTGTTGCTATACGTCTTTTAAAAGTTAGAAAGTGGGCTTGGTATGGAATCTCAGGCTCAAAAATGTCTTTACAGCAATTTCTGAATTAATCTTGTGAAGAACAGGAGAACCTTACGTAAATTTCCTAATTTCCCAGATTTAGCATACATTCTGCTAAATCCGGGAAATTGCTTTTTGATTTAGATTTTTCAATCAAAAATGCTTTTTGATTTAGATTTTTCTCTGAATACTATTATTAATGTTCTCAGGGGCTTCACCTCTCATGTATATCTTTTTAGTCTGTAAGTACTCTTTGATCAAATTGCATAACACTAATTTCGAGTTTTTGATTTCTGTCTAGTTCAGTTCCAATTCTTGTGAAGCCTTGTACAATGTCTCCTTGTTAGACATCTGTCAGACAATGCATTTAGGCAGCTTGCTGAGATCAGTACTTTTTAAGTCCTCCTGGCTAAGCTGATTCCAGGCACAGTTTCTTTGCCCAGTGGATTAATGCTTTTGATGCCAGACACAAAGGTTCTTTGCTCATTTAGTAGAAATAAGACATGCTTTATATGTGTCTGAGACCACTCTTCTGTTTTCCAAGGAGCCATATCCCAGAACACCCTGCTTGTGGTATTCTGCTTTCTATTTCAACTCTTGTAGTAATAAAAATATTCTTTTTAAAAGCATAATCCATTAAAATGCATATTTTTGCAGGTTTTTTAAACAAATCATGTTTTACTCCTGGATTAGTATGAGTATATAGAGTCCAATCAAAAATAAGGTGTACAAACATCTGGCTGTCCACCTCAGCCTTTCATGACTATCATGCATGAATTCCCCTGCGTTCTTGGTTCACTTCTTCTGGTCTCACCATCTGTATGTCAAAAGATTTCTGTCTCTGTTGTGAGTGGGAGCATGGGCACCTAATCCTTTCATGCATTCACATCCATCTGTCCTGTGATTTTCTCACTTGTTCTCAAACGTCTTGCTCAGGTGGTGAGAGTTCATCACTTAGTGGACTCCTGCTTTGCTTTCGTGATCCACGCCATGGTGAGAGGGTCTGCAGAAAGTCATTGTTCTGCTTTGTAAGAGCTGCTTTGCTCGTGGTGGTACTTTGCTAGTAACAGTGACTAAGAGACAGAGACTCAGACACTGATCCTTTTCTCCTTTATGTCATTAACTAGGGAAAAGCACAGTCATGCTGCACATACTAGACTTTGTGCAGTCAAAGTAGTGTTTTAGGTGGCTCAAACTGAGTCTCAAAAGTTATCACACTAGTTGCTTGCAGCACAGATTTATTTGAATGTTTAAGAGAATTACTCTTTTTTAAAAAAAAACTTTGGTTTTTGTACACCCAATATAACTGCTACTTTTAAAAAGAAGAAAGCAAGGGTATAGCAATTACCTTCATCAGCTCTTCAATGCAGAGTTATTGTTGAATGTTCCTTACATTTTATTTTGAGTTTTTTGGGGTGCCTTGTTGAATATAACCAGACTGTAACAATTTGCATCAGTAGAAAATGTAATTGTCTTTCTGGAATTTGATGATTAGTTAGACTACTTAGATATGCATTAAGGTTTTTGATGCACATTAGAGTGAGATTTGAGAAAATGCAATAAGGTCTAGTCTACCTGCAGTACTCTGTACATTTTTCTGCAACTGGCATGAATTTGGATTAACACTAAAATGAAAATGGAGCAATGCTTCTGATAAAATGAAAATTGCAACAGAAAATAAAGTTCTAGACTCACTTGGCAGGCAGAACGCTCTTCAAATAAAAAGGAGCTTTGCCAGCCTCAGGAACAGTCCTAAATAAAACCTTTATATTTCATAGGGGTTTTTTGGAGGGCTCTATAAAACAATGTAATGTGTTTTAATGTCAGCAGAACAAAGCATGTATTTGTGGAAACATGATAAAGTTCAAGTTAGCCTGACAAAAGGTACATATTTTCTGCTTAGCTGATGCAAGTTTTAGTGTAAAACTCTTTACAGTCTCTTCAGGGAAAAAAAAGAAAAAAACCACAAAATTTGAGAAAACCTTGATATGGTACTTGAGGAAAAGTAATACTTCTAGTTAATAACTGAACTTTGTATTTGTTTGCCAGTGCTTTTGGCTGTAACAAAAACAGTCAGTTTCAGGACTTAGTTGTGGAAAACTGATGAAGATATAATGCTGCTTAGCAATTTTGTTTTGCTTTGAAGCAGG